TGTGTGTGTGTGTGCGCGCACGCGCGCAGATGTAGCCAGCAGCTATCATGAAACGCACTGTGCCGTGTAGGAGCTACGCTTTGGAGAGATAGTTTGGTCTTCTTTGAAATCCTAAATATCAGTTCGACCTTTCGGATGTGTTTTGGGGGCGTCGTTGGGGTTGCAACAACCTCAATTGTTGCAGGTTCTGCACTCATGGCCTGCTCAAAAATGCTTAAAGAAATTGAGTGTGCAAGGGTTAACAACCCCGTATCAGGGCCTCAGGGACTACTGATGCGAACAAATTGTACTTGCCTCGAACAGCTAGCTTTTCGGATTGGTTCAAACATGTTCAAACATGTTCAACGGCCATCTACTTTCGAAGCACCTGGCCAGAGCTTGCCAAGGCACCAGCTGCCCAGGCCCCGTCTCCTTATCCTTCGCAGCAACTGGAAGCGTCTCTTCGTGCGAGATCTGCCGCGAGAGTTGACGCTCAAAGGCTTTTTCGGAGCTCCCCGCTGCCTCAGAGACCCAAGCGGACCGCGACCGCCAAGGAGCAAATTTGACAAAGTTGCCAATTCTTCAGAAGCACTGAAGTTTGCTAGGATGGTGACGGAAAAGGGCCGAATTCGGCTCCAACTGGCTTTATCAAACGAACATAGCCGGTCAACACTGACGAGCTCCCATGGCCTTCGCAACCATCCCAACCAGGACAGACCGAGCTGCCAACTTGGGAAACTTCTCTCGAAACTCATTCAGCGATCCACAGAAGGTTACCTGTTCGCTGTTCGAATGTTCTAATTTGCAGAAAAAAAGAAACATCTTGCAAAAACGAAGCGATGCTAAAATCTGAAGTATCAAAACTGAGCTACAGTCATCAAATCTCTCTTCGGAATAAATCCATATAAATCCTGCCTTTCTTGTATTTTTTGGAAAAGTCCTGAAGTTCTCAGTTTCCTGCGAGACTCGCCCTTGTTTCCCACCCAAATTTCCGCATGCGTACCTGGGCAGCCGGCCCTTGGGCTGAAGCTGCAGCTTGCAATAAAAGCTCATCATCTTGTTCTCCCGGCTCTCCGTCCTGGGCCGAGCAGAAAGAATCTTCGCCGAAACAGAAACTGGCCGAGCCCGGTGAACATGGAGGGTCCTTGCCGTTGCAGCTGATCCAGCTGCAGTCAAACCCAGCGTGGGGGTTGTGTCAAACTACAAGCTGCTTATTGACCTAAGTTGGTACAAGCTGCTGCAAAAGTGTTGCCCTTCTGTCCAAGCAACCTCAACACGTCCGTTGGCAACACTCTCTTCGTCCTCGCGTTTTCCTCGTGCTAACAGAATGATTTGATCGGCCGAGTTCACAGCATGAATGTGGTGAGTGCAGAGGACAATGGATGACTTCGCCAGCAGGGGGCTCTGAAACATCTTCAGCAGGGTCCGAGCCACGTGTGAATCCACTGCACTTAGGGGATCGTCCAAGAGCATGAGGTCTGCCTGCGAATAAACGGCCCTTGCCAAGGAGATCCTCTGTTTCTGTCCACCAGAGAGGTTCACTCCCTTCTCACCGATCTCAGTTAGATCACCATTTGGTAAGGTTTCCAAGTCAGGTAATAAGCAACATGCCTTCAGAACTGCATGATATCTGTCCTCAGGGTGATTTGTAGGGCACAATCATCCCTCAGCTATCCTTTGTTACTATCCACTCAACACCTATCAGCCTATCAACTTGTCAGAACTTTTCACCTATCGAACCAAGTTGTGGCAAACAACCCGGACCTCATCGAATCGGCTGTTGAAGATGATGTTGTCCTTCAGTGTGGCATTTCGGATCCATGCGACCTGTGGGGTGTACGCCATCGTGCCAGAGGTCTTCAACTGCCCAGCCACTGGATGTAGATCACCTTATGCTTGATACACGTTGATGGCTGCAATGCAAACAAATGTGACTATACTACAATATGTATCCACATATATCAATATGTAACTGTATACTGTGTATGTATATATATATATATATCTTTGTTGCTCACTTCTGACATGGATTTACTTACTGATTTGCACATAAT